CTAAATAATACAAATAGAGATTTGGTAGGTAGGTTCAAAATGTAACGTGGCTTTCGTGTGAAAACTATTTTGTGGATTATGACTCGTATAATTTTGTGTCTTTTGTTCCAGAATGATTTATTGGAAAGTGCTTTGTGGCCCTTTTCCTGAAAGGCCTCAATTTGAAGAACTTGAAAGCGAAGCAACGTACTTTTTAACAGTACCTACGAATGAATTCCAGTCGACACAAGGTGATGACATCATTTTGTTGGAGCAGCGCCAGCCATGCCAACCAAAAGCGGAGCAGCGTACTTTTTAACAGGACTTACGAATGAATTCCAATCGACACAAGGTGCTTATGCTGCAGCGGCGATGACATCATTTGTTTGAGCAGCGTCAGCCATGCCAACCACTCCATATCACCTCCACCCAAAACCAGGCGGAGGCGCGGCAGCAATAGAAATTCTCGAATATTCCAAGATCGTCTCATTTGCAACCCTTGCGGGGCCCGATCAACTTATGTTGACTCCTTACACCCTTGGTGTCAAACGGGTGACCCGGGGGCCAGATCCGGCCCGCCACATCATTGAATTAAAAAAAGATTTGTTACATTTTGTAAGAAAATTTGTACAAAAATGACTTCCAGATTTTGTATAGAAAAAAAAACATGATTCATTTGTGGATCATATATCATGAAGGATTTTACACAAATATTACTGTCACACTTTTTACGACTGTCATTTTTGGGGATGGTTGAAAAAAAATCACGTCATTGCCGATATGTTGCACGATTGCAGTTTGCTCGATCGGTATGAAGATTAGTCGCCGCAAGTGTCTAAAGTTGGGGGGGGGGGATCATGTGGCCACGTGGACTGTAACCTCTCGATCCCCATCGCTCATTTGTTTGCTTTCTCCTCACTGTGGGTCAGCAGGTTCGTCCAGAACGCGGCTTTTGGCCGGTTCATGCCAGACCATGTGGATCCTCATCTGGGTCGAAGGTTACTGGAACACTCGGTGGTTCGGACTAGTGGAGCCCTTCATCTCAATAGAAATTACACAATGACATAATCCTAAATCATTTGATCAATTAGATGCCGATGTAAGAAGATTCTGACAGGAACACAGTTCACTCCTAAAAAATGCTTGTCGTCCCCCCCCCCCCAAAAAAAATTATATCAAAAACGGATCGACCTGCTACTACGTGTGTGTGTGTGTGTGTGTGTGTGTGTGTGTGTGTGTGTGTGTGTGTGTGTGTGTGTGTTCGCGCGCGCGTGAGGCACGCAGGGGAGGAGTCAAAAGATGAGTGAAGTAGCAATTCCAATTCCTGCAAAGCTTTCCAGCAGGAGAAGAGAACGTGCATCAGCAACTGTACAACAGGTCTCAAAATGTTGTTCCTCTCAGTAATGTCATTTTCCATTTCCCGGATATGCTCGCAACTTGTCTTTTGCTTGCAGGCGAATGCACAAAATGAACGGCGGCGCTGACATCGAAAGCGAGCGGTCCTCCGTCGGAGCTGGATTCCGCCGCGGTCCCCCGGAGGAGCACTTGGGGGCGGCGAGCGACCCTTTCCTGACGGCGGCCCGGCTCCTGCGCGCCGGGGACCGGAAAGTCAAAGAGGACAAACAGCATCAGCACAGAGGCGCTGGCGTACCCGTGAAGACGCCACGCAAGCAGTGGAGAACGTTGAAGACGCCCAGACTGGCGCCCATCGCCGAGACGTAGCCGCAACGCGAGCTTGGTTCGGCTCCCGAATGTGTTCCATACACACGACACGCTTCACTGCGCGGTGCTTTGCTCATTCCAAACAGCTCTGAAGGATTTTCTGCCCGTTTTCTACAATTCCATGCCGATTAAAATCATGTCTGTCATTTACAATCTGGATGCTCATGTGGGATCCATGTTTTTCAGACATTAATTTGCCCGGTACTGAGAAAGGCGAAAAGGTTTTTTTTGGTGCTTGTGTAACAGGCCAGTAAAAAAAACGTACTGTACTGTATAAGAACTACACGAAATCTGTGAAATGATAAATCCCCGGTGTGTTTTTTTGACGATATTGTCCATTATCAAAGGGTGGAACAAAAGTGTTGACGTGTTCCCCGACTTCAAGAATGAATGTGGCACTGCCTCTTTCAAGTTCAACTCCCGCCTTTAACTTCCCTTTTTCTCTTGATTCCCACGGGGAGTTAAGCATTTTTAGAGAAAGTAACGTACTAACAAGGCGTTTGAGTCGAAAGAAAGGACCGAATAAAATGGCCATGTATAGGAAGGCATTTTTTGCCTCCCCCCCCCCAAAAAAAAACGACCATGTATAGTAAGGCGTTTTTAGCACCCCAAAAAACGACCATGTATAGTAAGGTGTTTTTTGCCCCCCCAAAAACGACCATGTATAGTAAGGCGTTTTTTTGGCCCGAAAAAAATGACCACGTGTAGTGTGGCATTTTTAATCGAAAAAAACTGACCATGTATACTAAGGCATTTTGGCCAAAAAAAACGACCATGTACAGCAAGGTGTTTTTACCCCCCCACCCCCTAAAAAATTACCATGTATAGAAGGGGTGTCAAACTCATTTCACATTGTGGGCCACAAACGGCCTCGGTAGATGTCAAGTGGGCCGGACCATTAAAATGATACCATACTCTGCTATAAATAATCCAAAAAGTCTTTACTTTGTTTTGGTCTAAAGAAGCACAAGAACATCAGGAAAATGTTGAAATGTAATCAACATATCTTTTACAAAACATTTCATGAAGCACCTTAGATTTCCTGAGACAAATGTGCAATTTACTTTGGTCATTCACATATATGCATTGCAACTGATCCCACTGATTGCACAAAGGCACAAAACTTTAACAATAGGGTATTGAAAAATATAATACATTTTAGAATTAAACGAATTTATAAAGAAATGAATTTTTAAACCATTTACACGTGTATATAAAATCACATGTGTATATAAAATCAAAATTTAATCCCTGCCGACATCTTAGAAACTACGGAGGGTGCTATTAAATGTGTAAATAAAGTATTAACATGTACTTGATAGCGTCTGCTGTGTTGGGTCTGTCACAGTGACAGATTGAGACTGATGGTTTCTTCTTCTCTGATCAAAAACAATGTTGTCTTCTACTCTGTTGAAAACAGTGTGTCCCCAAGCGGATACTCCATGAATTGCACCTGAATAAAAAAATTCATTCCGTGTCGTTTATACATTTTTTTTACTTTGAAATGATCCTGCAGGCCTGATTATACCTCCTTGGGGGCCGGCTCCGGCCCGCGGCCCGTATGTTTGACACCACTGATGTAAAGTAAGACGTTTTAGACATGGTCGAAAAAAACAACCATGTATAGTAAGGCTTTTTTAGTTGAAAAAAACGACCATGTAGAGGAAGGCGTTTTTAATCCCCTTAAAAAAACGACCATATATAGTAAGACGTTTTTTGCCGAAAAAAAACCATGTATAGTAAGGCGTTTTTAGCCGAAAAAAAAGACCATGTATAGGAAGGCGTTTTTAGCCGAAAAAAAACAACCATGTAAAAAGTAAGGCGTTTTTAGCCGAAAAAAACGACCATGTATAGAAAGGCGTTTTTTTTCCCCCCGCAAAAAAAAGACGAAAATAACCGACCATGTATAGTAAGTCGTTTTTAGCCAAAAAAAACGACCATGTATAGTCAGACGTTTTTAGCCGAAAAAAAACGACCATGTGTATGTAGTAAGGTGTTTTTAGCCCGAAAAAAACGACA